ATATATATATATATATTTACGTCGCGAAAATATCGTGTCGTGTGAGGCGATGTTTCACGTCACGGCTCGTCTAAAAACTGAGCACTCGGCTAAAAATAACGCGTCGAACGTTTGCTTAAAAAAAAAACGAAAAAAAATTAGTAAGTAAGTAGATCCATACAATTCCAATCTGTTGTTTTTCTGTTGCAGCACATGGTGCAGACAGGAATGGCTGCGCCCTACGCCGGGGGTGTCTTTCCTCCCCCGGTGAACGGCGTGAGCGGAGGACTCGTGAATTCGACGGGGGCGGCCAGCGAAGTCAAACCACCGCCGTCCGTGTCCATCAAAGAGGAGCCAGTGTCCGTCGCTGCTGCGGTGGCCGCGGCGCAACAGCAACAACAGTCCAACGCGGCCCAAGTGGCCCAGTCCCAGGGCGTTGTTGTACAGGCCCAACAGAACCAGACCACCTTCAGTCCGCCCCCAGCGCCCAATGGCGTTGATTCACAGGCCATCGTGAGTTTTTTTTTTTTTTTTTTTTTTTTTTTTTTTTTTTTTTTTTTTTTCTTACACTTTCACCCTTATTTCCATACTTACAACAACTGTACTTTAATATTGCAAAATAAAACGTTTTGTCGTTCTATACACGTTTTTACTAGCATCGCTAAAACGCAGTCAATAAAACGATTTGCGTGTGTACCTAATAAGAGCATAACATTAGAAAAAAAAAAAAAAAAAAAAATTACGGTCATCAACGTATCCGTGCGTTTGCGTCGTTCCGGCGATAGTCGGAAGTGTTTCAGGCGGCAGTGGCAGCAGCTGCAGCAGCCGCGGCAAACAACGGCGGCCAACAGCCCAGCGTGCCGAGCCAGGTAGTCAACGAGGCCAGCTCCGAGAACAACGTGGAGCAGAGTCTTGTGCCGGTGACTTCGGGAGCCGTAACGCCTGCCACCCAGAGCCAGGGGGGAGACCTCAAAGGACAGCCCAAACGGCTACACGTCAGCAACATACCGTTTAGGTTCAGAGATCCCGATCTGAGAGCCATGTTTGGCGTGAGTATTACCTTTTTTTTTTTCTTTTTTTTTTTCTCATCATTACAGGTTTTGCGTGGAAAGCTCTTAGGTGTCTGTTCAATTTACAAAATGGAATAATGATTTGTGTTGCAGCAATACGGTCAAATTCTTGATGTGGAAATAATTTTCAACGAAAGAGGAAGCAAGGTAATATCACCAAACAAAATTATACTTTACGCAAATCAATACGTTTGAATAATCATAGTAGGCTTAAGTAGTACTAAGTTTACTTGTTTCAGGATATACTTATTTTTACTCAAGATGTAATTTAATCACGCAGTAAAAAAATATGTATTGCGTTTGAGTTGCTAGACTTGTGATCAAAAAATTTTTTATGAAGTGAGTTTTATCTTGTTGAAAAGTCAAATCGTATCCTGACACAGAGTTTAATATTAATAATCAATCGAAGGTATCGTGATTTTATTTTATTGTTGATTTTTATATTCAACTGTTGAAGTTTTAATTATGTTAAATTGGTACACTAGAGATTTTTTGTAGCAAACCAAATTTATTTATCAGAAAGTACTCATGTTACCTTCGCACGCCCCATTTCTTTTCAGCGCGCTAGCAACACTAATAAAAAATACATCATTTTTTAAATGCTGATGTACTTATGGTTAACAATCAAAAACAATTGAATGGCAAATTAAAAAAGAAAAAACCTGTCATTGAAAAATTGTAACTAAATATTTTCTTCAGATAAAGAGCTTGTAAATAGAAGTAACCCTACATGATTGCTTAATATACGACTTGAAAATCTTTGAAGCGTATCAAAGTGCAAATACCGGTAATGCACTTACAAATATAGTTTTTATACGCCAAGATCTTACGTTGATTTATCATCCTTGAAATCAAACTTACTTACTCCCACTTATATCATCGTTTTGTTTATTTACACGAAACTTTTGTTTTATTAAAATATTTCATCAGCTACGGATTTTACAATGTGATGCTACGAATATATATGAATTAGTGTTGCCAGCGCTTACTTTAACTTTAAGAAATTTTAGGAATGTGTAAAATCGAACCAAAGTCAGAAAAGATACTGTCATGTCAAAGTTGAAAACGAAATTAATAGAGAAGTATAGATTGTTGAAAAGAGAGAGAGAGAGAAAAGCCTTCTTACAAAAATTTGTTCTGACCCATAATCGATATAACCCAGTTTTCAGTCACTATGTTGCTTTTGCAAAATGCATATTTAAACTTTTTTGTGGTTCACTAAATGTTGATATTTGCTGAACAACTTTATTAGAACTAAAGTAGAATTTTCCATTCTGAAAAAGCACTGTGCTTCAGCCAATCGAACAAAAATTTTTTTTCTCGAAAGCTTCGTCAATGTAAATGGAATGTAGCATCCCTATATAATGATTGAAGTGCAGCATTTTGAAGTATATTTTTTGTGTAAAAGGACAGACTATTAATTTGCATTGATATATTTTTTATATTAATCCGTAAACTTTTATATAATAGCCAAACGTTTGTACTGGGAACACTCAAAACTTACGTGATTTTTGCTTTTCAACAATTTAATCGCTTAATCTCCATTTTTTTTATATACCTTTTTTTGTTGATTATTGGCAAATTGTTATGAATGTTGTATCTTTTTAATGAAAAATTTCATAAATATAAGCTTTTGAAATTCTCATGTACACTCGTGCAAAACATACATCACCATGTATAGTGCAAATGCCATTGACACTATCATATACCTGAAAAAAAAAAAAAGTATAATATAACCAATGGTATTAGTCCTTGTAGTTGATTAGACAAGCTGTTGCACTTTTACTAGCTAGCCTTTTTTATGCATTTTAATTAATGTTTAGCTCCCATTGGTTATAGTGACGAGATGGTTTATTTCGTCCGCATGTCCCGTGGGGTTACTCGCTTTCGCATTTCTTTTTTCACCATATAAATTAAGCGCTGTATAAGCTAATTGTTGTTTCGTAAGATTATCAATATATACTTTGGTACAATTAACATTTGAAAAATTATAACAATGCTATGTTAATTATGTATTCATTTGAAACAGCACATTTCCACTAAGCCTATTTAACAATGTGTTATTTATTTATTGTTTTTCCTCTCTATACTTATAGCCACTAATTATAATACTTTATTGAAAAAAAAAAAATTAACTTAAATAATTATTACTTTTATGCATCAGCGATGAACTTCGGGAACATGCGGCGAACCGACGCGTGAACGGTCATTAAATTTGCAAAACTAAATGAAAGTGTATATTTTCGAGAGATGCTGCCCATTTTATTTGATGAAACTTTTAACAATTCAATATATCCAAACGCTGCTACCACATATTTTACCATCGTACAAATATTCAAGCCTACTCAAGTAAACCTACTATATAAATCCTTGCCTTGGCCTCGATTTTCCTTGATACATCTAAATTTTTTAAAATGACATGATATTCAATACTCAAAATTAAAAAGTCCTACATTCAACGAATTGCTTTTGTGTCCTTTGCATTTGTTTTTCTCTTAACTTACCTTACGCTCTTTACAGCTGCCTCCTTTTATTCATTACGTCATATATATTTCCTCTTGGTGTTGATTATTTACGCACGGGGTATTAATTTAAACTGACGAAAATCACAACGTAAAACGTGTTAATGTGTCATTTTATTTTACACGCGTGATGCTAATTTTTTATTGTAACTATACGCCAGTTATTGCGTGAGACTTTATTACTAATATTTCCTACATAATTATGACAACGAAATCGCATGAAAATTACGTATATATATATATTACATTACTCTTTATACTTGCATCATCCAAAAGTTTACCATTGCGTACTTATATATATATTTTATATTATCCGTACATACTATATATGTAAATAGTAGACGCACGCTTCGTTATAGGTGAGTCAGGTACTTAACCAAACAAAGCTCATGCTTTTCTCTTATATACTCACGTATGTGTTTAGCATATAGAAACTGCTTAACTTGTCACCATTTTGAAAGCCATACGTTTATACATGTATCACTTGTATTATTGGTCCTTCTTTGTTGTAATGATTTACACGCTATTTTAGGACATTTTGAAGGCTCAATACTTTATGTACTGTTTAACGCGCATTGAAGCTTTTTTATTTTGATAACTTTACCCGATTCACACACTACGTCTTTTCTAACTCGAAATTTGTTGAACTGAAAATTGAAAGATTAATTTTCAAACAGCTTCTATGGATTGATAAATGCATTTATGGTACGGTCACTTGTATCGTAATGTTCGGGGAGATCACGCGCCTTGCTTTTATTAATATTTATATCATAAAAATACTCACTGCAAAACATTTGATGTGTAAATTTTTCTACCTTGAATTATAAACAAGGTTAAACAAACATTGTCCGTGTTAGTTTTTTTTTTACCTGCTTATTAAACATTAAAAAAAATTATGGTAACATATCGAGGACAAAGGTTTTAATTGACAATTTTTTTTTTATGTTTTAAAGTTGATTAATGCAAAATGTACCTTCAGTAATAATGAATCGCGATGAACATTACAGTGCACGTTTGAAAGAAAAATAACGTAATTTTCATTTTCGTTTCAAGAAGTAACTTTTACCCAGCGATGAATTAAATTTTCCTTTAACCTCGTATAAACCAAATTATTGATCCTTCATCATGCCTAGAAGAGTTTGTACATTTATATTCTCATCAGCATATTTATTTCTCATTTCGTTCCACGTTGAAACGTTTGATCGCTATGATTGACTAGTTGTGACGTTGTTTAACAGATTAAAAGCTGTGCTCTGAAAGAAATTGAAAAAAAAAAAAAAAAAAATTTAATCATAGCCTGTATTACGAAGAAAAAATGAAACAAGGTAGAGAATGTATACTATTGCAAAAGTCTTGTTCTGTTGAATTTTTTTCCTAATAAGAATGTGAATGCTGTTGATAAAATAACAATGCTTGGTACTTTGTGGACTTGTAAGTTTATCTTCGATTGAAAAATGTCATCTAATTGAAAAAAAATATGTCATGAAAGAATAACCAAATGTTTATAGTTTCTAATTTTTCTTTTAATCTCACTTTGCTTCGGAAAGTAATTTGTGCAATTTTTTCTGCATTGCTATCTGGTAATTTACTTGATTCTTTAAACAAAAAATAATTCGAACGTATAGCTAACGAATTATTGTGGAAATCAATAGAAATGCTTTGAATGTCCTGTTTTTCTTCTTTAGACTTGATTCCAATAGGAATTATGATTATGAATTTCCTAAAAAATACATAAATGTATATCTCAAATCTCGTAATTCATACATGTACATTTCAAATATTCAAACACATCGTTTACCCCCCTACGGACAATTTATCTCACGAATTTTGTGTTTATGTACGTGTGCTTCAAAGTTAACGTACATGTTTTGCATGTAAGAATTTTTCCACGTGTGCAGTGTGCGTGTCACAATGAATTTTATCAACATCAAAACCTTATTATTTAGTCCTGCATTTGAAAGACTGTCCAATATAATCCAGTATAAATTCATCACAAAGATAAATGATGTTTCACCACACAAGTACCTCGTAATTTTTAACAGTTAAACGAATAAAAACACGACGTGATCATCGAATTACCGATACTTCTGTTTACACATCTCAAATGCCAAAAATTGCAATCGCGAAAGGACTTGCGTTTAAATTGGCTTTTAAGTCCATCGAACCCCACCACCGCGCGGCCGAACAAAGTGGCCGTGACTAATCTTCCAATTGAACCTCGTGCGTATTTTTTTCGTCTTTGCGAAAGGGAACGAGAGCCAACTCGAGAATAACAGCGGCTGTACGGCCGCATGCTTCGGTGATTCTCTTCTACCTACTCTTCTTCTTCTTCTTCTTCTTCTTCTTCTTCTTCTTCTTCTTCTTCTTCTTCTTCTTCTTCGCTGATGTCGTATTTGCGGTAGTGGTAAGGAAAACCCGCACCATTGCCTCGACTTTCTCGATTGTCACGAGACTCGAAATCCCGACGACGACGGCAACTCGATACTGTTCTTAAGGTTTCATCGAAGATTGATGTTGCCGATGCGTGTAATGCCTCGAGTGCTTGCGGATCAATTCTCATGGTTGACTCCATTATTGCTCGAGTCGTCGTCTTTACTCGCGGAAAGTGAGGGATGAAACAAAAGCACTCGCATCGCGAATATTTCTAGCGGTTTCGATCCGATTTAATTTAATCATGCCAAATCAAAGATACCATCGATTCAACACATTTGAGTTCCGATCAAGCTTATATTCTTTGCGTTTGTTCACTGATATACCTTGTGACATCTTGTTTTTGCGAATAAATGTTGATATTTTTTGTTCATCCTCCAAACGTTTTTTGATAAGATAAATTAAATAATTCCAGACACATGTATATTGATTAAAATTAAATACGTACTCTATCGACCGTAAACAATACTTCGCACCATCTTTATTTATTTCCCAAGTTACGAATTCGATACTTTCAACCTATTTATTTCAAAACACAATTACTTTCGACAACTTGAATGAAACGCATCCTCGAAAGCTCGCGTATGTCGTAAACGCGATTCCATTTTACCCCAGCGTTTATCGGTGCCTCTTTTCACAAATTCACCGCAGACATTTGAAAACGAATGTCACCATCGATCCTAAACTGAATACTCATTCTTTAATTACTCCTTACATGCGTACATGCACACGAGTTTGTGTGTACAAAGGCGCGTATATATTCATATTTATGTGTATGAGCATAAATACGCATATGTACGCGCTAGCTTGTATATCCTCTTATATGCACTTCCTAAAAAAAAATTAAAAAAAAAATAACATACATATTATATCTCTTAGTCTCAACGATGTATTGATGATTATAATGACTTGACCCAATATAATATATGATATGATATATGATATTATGTGATAATGAGATGATTAATGTAATTATGATCATGATTTCTTACCATGATTTTATATTTACTTATTTGTTGCACGTTGTTTGGTGCGTCTTCGTAAGCAGTACGCGCTTGCAGCATTGTACATCGACATTCGTAGGCCATTCGTACCAAACGATAATAATAATTATTATTAGCGATCACTGTAGTAAAGTAGTTCAAGCTTCAGTTTTTTTTTTTTTTTTTAAGCAACTCTACAATGTCCACAAAATTTAATTTTTATTGTAAAGTAACAATACGTTAAAATTCATAAAAATTGCAACGTACCACGAGTTTATAGAATTTCTTTTAAATTATTAGATTGAGATTCAATTCATGAGTTTATTCCTATATGTTTCACACAGTTGCTGACATTGGAAATTTAGAAGGAAAGAATTTAGACGCCTAGCATTTAATACCCAAAATTATGATAATGTCACGCACATTTGGTGTTGTTAAATTTTTTGCATTCTAAAAAATTTCAAGCACCACTCGCGTTAGTTACTTGACCATTGAGAATTAAGCGCATAATGATAAAAAGAGCAAAAAAAAAAAAAAAAAAAAAAGCAAACGGGTAAATTGTGCCTGGCTGGACTCGCTGCAAGTGCATGTGGAGCGCAGCAGTCTGTAAGTTGAGTTTAATGCATGTTGTTTTGTCTGTCCTTGCATGCAGGGATTCGGTTTTGTAACATTCGCAAATAGTGCTGACGCGGACCGGGCNAAAAAAAAAAAAAAAAAAAAAAAAAAAAAAGGGTAAATTGTGTATGACATGTCGATGTGCAAGTGCATGTGGAGCGCAGCAGTCTGTAAGTTGAGTTTAATGCATGTTGTTTTGTCTGTCCTTGCATGCAGGGATTCGGTTTTGTAACATTCGCAAATAGTGCTGACGCGGACCGGGCACGTGAGAGGCTACACGGCACCGTGGTTGAGGGCAGAAAGATTGAGGTGTGCATGAACTTTCTTATACTTATATATGCATAATTATACATGTACATATACGTATTTCTAATTAATCACTCGTAATTGTGTGAGTAAACCATCACAAATTTTATGTGTCTCTAACGTATACGCGGATGCCTATACGTACATGTGTATTACTATTATTTACCTTGTTTATTTTCTTTAATAATATTTATTATACATTAATATATAAAATATATACATATGATTTATCTGATATTGTTATACATGAAACATTGTGAAAAATATTTTGTTCCTTACAGGCATCAAACTAATTGATTTGAAAAAAAAAAAAAAAAGTTACGCACGAGAATTTTGGGGTACGCAAATCTAAGGCTCGCCCGTCTTCGACTTGCGAACCCCTCAACTCGGAAATTCACAAATTCTCTCAATCATACCTAGTTTGTAAGAAATTGTATTAATATGATCATTCATCATTTCCTATTATTAAGTAAATGCTTTGATGAAGCGCACTACTCTAGTTTACTATATTTACTAATAATCATTTTACGTAGCCCGTAAGTAGAGCTTAAGTATCTTAATAATCAGTTGTCGAGTTATGCTGCTTGCACTTGTCTGGCACTAAATGAAACTAAATTTTCTGGAAAGTTACTATCTCCTCCCTCCCTCCCTCCACTAAAAAGGCAACAAAAAACAAATACATTTTACTTTTTCAGGGACTAATATTTTATGTTTAAATAATACATAACATTTGATCGGTACGACGATAAAAAGTATTTTTTTATTTTTTTATTTTTTTTATATCCAAGTATCTGCAAGATGCACGACGCTAAATATCATTACACCAAATACTAAATTGTAAATTCGAAACAATGCTCGTATAACGAATTCAATTGTTGGTAACAAATGATGACTGCTCGTTCTGTCGTTACAATCGAATGAAATATGCCTCGTTTTGCATCAATAAACTTATCCATAAATATAACTTTTAATCAAAAAGCAAAAAATTTTCAACTGAATTGTTTTTGTAATGACGTTTTATTTGATCGCGCCAAAGTTTTGTGTTTCATTGTACTTATATTACATTAATCCATAGTAAAGGTTGTTACTGTTACGTAAAAGTCAATCTGGTGAAAGTGCGCATATCTTTCTAAAACGTTTTATTACTGATTTATTGATATTTCATCGAACTATTGATGACCTTTTTTCATTAGAGCCAACCATCCATGTCCAATCAGTAAATGCACGTAATGGAACAAAAGTAAAACTTTCCCGTCCTACAGCTGTACGGTTTAAAGATAAAAATAAAATGAAAAACAAAAGGATTATTAAATGGTGCTACTGGTTTTTTAAAGTGATTCTCAATACAGTATTATTTTATTTTTTTCTATTCAAATTGTTTAAACATAAAATTTTAATTAATTGATAGACTGAGTTGAAAATAAAGACATGTGGCATTAATAAAATTCTTGTTTTGTCATTTGCTTGTAACGCCAAAACGACCAGTTTTTTTTTTCAAACGCAAAGTGTTGTAGCGAAAAAGCTCCACAAAGTCGCTGCAATTCAATGAGACGCCACAACAAGGGCAATGAATAAAACCTCAAACGACGAAACCCTGGCTCAACGAGAAGTAAATTGAGTGACCTTTTTATCTCCTCCGAAAAAAGTTATTTCAGTGCTCCAAACAAAGGGACAAACAAAAAATGATTGTAGGGCAACACGATACCAGCTTCTCCACAACAACAGAGTAAATAATTAGAACGGGCTAAAAGGTTTTTAATCGTCGCGCTCAAAGTTTCAAAATTGCTTGCAATGTCTCGCTTTTTTCCAGAGATTTCTGAGCTACAGTTCTTAGTAGAGCTGACCTCCTCTACAAGCACGATTCCGGTCTAGTTTTATTTATGGCCGAATTTTACACTCTTGGCCTTATAGTATCACTGGAATAGTTACTCATGCAAATCATTAAAACTAGAAATACAATAAAAAAAAATTTTGTATTCAGATTATTGATTGTCAGGCATCCAGTCAGTGTTTCGCGAATCATAGAATTGCTATAATTTGTTATTGGTGAAGAATTTCAATAAAGCTCTGATGCACCAAGTCCCTCGTGTTGATTTATGAATTAAATTCGTTTTGGTTGGTAAAATTAATGAAAGTTTGTTAAAGCAAGAGTGTGATTAATCGAAATTTTCGCTTGAACTAGATAGGTTAAAAAAAAAAGAAAAAAAAAAAAAAAAAGAGAGATGGTTACGCTCGCTTGACTCGAATTAGCATGGCTAGAATTTCTCGGAAACGGACGGAGCAATTAAATTAATTCTTGCATAACGAGGGAATGAAAAATAATAGACCCTACGTGACCGAGCCGCACTAAAAATAAATATCAACATGAATAAATACAATTGCACATGTGAGTACCGTATGAAGCGTAAAGTTAAAAAAACTTTGTGTTAATCGGCTTAAACGATGCAATTTTGTAACGATTACAACACAATTAGATAATGAGCAGCAATTTTCTAAAGTTTTGGCACTGAATGGTAAAAAAAAAAAAAATAATAGTAGTAGTAAAACAGGCTCGAGATTGATAAATTAGTGAACAACCAGTCTACGCTTATTACGCTAAGGATGTACGTAATGTGCGCACTCGCATACGAGAACGGGAGCGTCCATGCGTAACATCAAAGAATTATATGTATAGGAGATAACAACTTAATTATATATATCCACCGTGTTGGAAGGATCCGGTGTTATTACTCGGGATTTCGTTGAAATACTCGCTTCAAAAACAAATGATGAACCAAAGAACATTTGTTTTAACACTGCACGCGAAAAACCTCCCTCGTAATTACCACTTGCGAAGCACCGCAGTTTTTGTCTTGTTGAGTTTCACCTGCCCAGAAATCATTGACAAACCTCTCTTTCGCACATTGTTGTAGCTCCATTGTTGACACGGCCTTTATCCGCATCGAACAAGTTGATGCGTTTGAAAAAAAAAGTCACTAATTTATACTCGCGTGGTGATGAAAAAAAAAAATGTATGTCAGAAGCGTTTGCATTTGAGATAATGGTGGTGATAATGACGATAATGATGATGATATTAAACGTCGTGCTTCTTCTGTACTTATGTGCCGTGGAACGTCTCGCGAAGCGTGTTACGAATGGGAGTATCTTTCGGTGAGAGGCGCAGAACAAAGCACAAAGAGCATACACGAAAGCTTAAGCCAAGAGAAGCACAGTGACGATACGAGTTGCGAGTAACCGTGCATAGAGATAGAGAGACAGAGAAAGATAATATAAATCTGAGAGACACAGAGGGTACGCAAGAAAAGGAGATGAGAAAGTAAAGAGCAGCGCGAATCATATATGTATAGATACACAAGTGAAAGAGCGAGACAGGGAAAAAAATGAAAAAAGAGAGAGAGAGAGAGAAAAAGGCAAACGAAATGAAAAATAAATAAAAAAGTAAGAGGCTCTCCAACATCTCGAAAACGAACTCCTCGTCTTTTTTACACGCGCCCAGCCATAATGAATGAAATTTCGTCTCTCTCGCATTCTAGAGCTAAAACGGGCAGAGAAATCTCACGCACAGACACGATGGACATTAAGAGGAGAGTAGCGCGCGCAGCCTCAGATCTCATAATGTCGTTGCCTCTCGAAGTGTTCGCCCAAGGTAAGATTATACAACAGCATAGCCAAAGCAAGAATCTCTCAAAACAACAAAACCAAAGTATTAGAAAAAAAAAAATAATTAAAATTAATAATGATCATTAATGAATCAACTATGTCAAAAAAAAAAAAAAAAAATAAAGTTTTGCCAAGAATCAATAACATATGTATTACCAGTTCGCACTGCCCGCTCTTTCACAGAAACACACGTACATTACTTACTGTGTCATTGGATTCTTTGATCATTTGGTTTTTTGTATTTACTTCCACCCCGTCCGATATTCTTAGACTTTGAGATTTTGTATATGTATAGTCGAGCACATATTTATTTATACATATATAAAATCTTCCATTACATGATAACATTAATATTATGCTGCCATGTAGTTGTTGACAGTTATTAAAGTTACTTTATTATCACCGTATTGTTATTTACAAGTTTTATCGTCTGGCTTTTATTTATTTATTTATTTTTTTTTTTATTA